GGCTGGGATGGTGTTAATGGATGGGATGGAGATGAGGAGAAAAAGAGGCAGCAGCTTCCAGAAGAGTTTTCTGGCTCAGTTTGTGTCCTAAGAAGGTTTTATGGTTTGCTCGTTTACTTGTTCATTTCTAGAAAAAGTGCCCAGAAGAGTCTCCTGTCCCTTTGTTGGTATGCCCAGAGAGAAGTGGGGAAATCTATGTTGTGGACATTAACTATAGAAGGAGCCACAGGCCTCAGATATTGCTTAGAAACTCGTATTTCAGATTTAAATACCATACACAGTAAAAATAGAGCTGAAAGTACCGCCCCACATTGTCTGCAAATCATTGCCAGAATGAACAGCTTCAATAAATTAAAAACAAAACAAAAAAATTGAAATATTATTTACGTCTCAATAAAAATTGCAGTAAAACCATTTACCTTTTCTTTTGTGTGTGTGTTTTCGGGTTTTTTTTTCTTTATATTATATATAATATATATTTATATATGTATAGGGCTGCTCCAGTGCAGCATTTTTAGGATACTTAGCCAGAGAAACAGAGGGGAGCATGCTTAGTGCACCAGGGTGCAGGGAAGGGGCAGCTGTGGTCCCCCTTCCAGGTGCCGGGCCCCAACACCACAGCCAAAACGGCAACCCCTGCCTCTTCCCACTTGAGTTTTAGGCCCAAATTTTGAGTGCAGGTCTCTGAGGGCTGGGAGGGAAAGGACCAGGGTGAGTGCAGGAGGGACACTAAGCATCCGCCGCTATGTTTCCCGACTCTGGAAAGACTTGTCCACCTTCGCTTCGGTTTCAGCGCTTGCGCTCCCGAAAATGCACGCGCAAGTATAAATACACCCCCCGACCCCACCCTTCCCGCTCCCCCCAGCTTAAATATCCCCCCGCCCCAGCCCCGTCCCAGGTCTCCAGGCACCCCCAGTGAGTGTCAGGACACCTCGATGATCTCCATGCTGCCCGAAAAGCTGGACTGTTTGCTGATTTTGCCCAGCTCTTCCCGAGCCCTGCCCTCGGACATGGTCTCCTCGAATTCCATCTGGCAGCTCCTCCGCTTGAACTGCTTCTCGGCGCCGGCCTCCTCATGCCAGCTGTGCCGCCCGTCCCGTGGCTCGGCGCGCGCCTTGTCCCTCAGTCTGATCTCGCAGCCAGCCGCCACGGTGCCGCAGCCGAATGGCGCAGGGTACGGGCCCGCGCTGGCGAACAGGCCCCCGCCGCTGCCGCCGCCGCTGCCGGAGTCCTTGCCGAAGAACCAGCCAGCCTCGCCCGAGGCAGAGCTGGGGGACTCCAGGTGCACCCCGCTCCAGGCCGCGGTGGCGGTGGCGGGCGCGGCGGGCGGCTGGCGGAGCCGTGGTGGCAGCCCGTCCTCGGCGCCGGGGCTCTTGCGCGTGGCGCAGGTCCCGCCAACGTTGAGGCTGAGCCCGTGGGCCGGCGAGCCCGCCGCGTGCCGGTGCTTCCGCCGCTGCCTCACCTTGGCCTCCAGCAGGAGCTCGGGCCCCGTGGGCCGGTCGGGGCTGTCCGCCCCTGGGGAGAAGGGGCTGAGGCTGCCCGAGCCCGAGGGGCTGTCCAGCTTGCAGAGTTTGGGGGCTTCCCCAGGTCCAGAGGGCCCAGGGGGGTCCTGCCGCAGGCCGGGGGAGTAGGCGGACTTGATGTCCAGGGAGAAGGAGCGTTTCAGACGGTTGGTGTCCTGGATGCGCTCGGAGGAGAGGTGCAAGCCATTGAGCCCCTGCTGCAGGGTGGTGGGTGACAGGACCTTCGGGGTCCCGCCCTGCCGCTCGGGGTCACTGGTGGGGGACGCCGAGCCGGTGCTCCTCGGCACGTCCTCGGCCTTCTCTGAGGTAGGTGTTAGGGGATGCCGGCTGCTCTCAGCCACCTCTGCTGGGTCCTGCTGGGTGTCCCCCTCGCCCCAGTCACCCTTTGACTTGAGGGCCTTGAGGAGCTTCAGGCTCCTCTCGTACTCCAGGAGCTGGCCCAGGAAGTTGAAGTTGGGCGAGATGGATGGGCGACGGTCCTTAACGAACCTGCCGAGAGGCACAGACAGCCCCGTTGGTGCTTGGTCCTTCAGTGGGCCACCCCTACTCTCTCAGCCTCTTTAGGGAGAAGAGGCATCATCGAGAACCTCCTGACCAGACCATCCAAAGAAAAGGATCTTGGGGAACCATGGGGCCTTGGGATGCCCCAGGATTAGAGCTGGGATTGCCTCCCCGCTCCCTTTTATCACTCCCAACCATTCTTTGTTGCATGCACTTTATGAGGGGAGCTTTGGTTTGGTTTTACTGGGACCCAGCCAAGGCAAGACAGAGCTTCAAGAAGCCCTGACCCTCTCCTTCTGGGCTCAGCCTGCTTTCCTTCCCCGGAGTGAAGCATACTGGCACAACCCCCCACTACCCTCAGGGGAATACTCACCTGTAAGCATCATCTGATGACATACCCATGGTCTTCATGATGTAGGCGATGGCAATGGTGGCTGACCGGGAGATCCCAGCCAAGCAGTGCACAATCACCTGGCAGCTGGACACCTTAGCTTTGTCTGGAGCATGGCAGAGGAAACAGAGAGAACAGCGAAGGTGAGCAAAATGGTTCTAGCCTCCCTCCCCAGCCCTCAGCCCCTTTGTGTGAGAGCTGCTGGGAGCAAGACCAGGGAGGACAGAAGAATTCAGGTTGTGAAGGCTGAAAATTGGAGAGTCTGCAGCCATAAGAAAAGCTCACCGATGAATTCAATGGACTTGTCCAGCCAGGGAAGCAGCTTCTCACAGTAGTTGTCATTGACAGGAATGCGCATGAAGTGACTATCACAGATGAAATCTGGCTTGGGACAGGAGTTGCTGGCATTTAGGACATAGCTTATCCCGTTCTGTGTCATCAGGTCCTGGTGGGAAAGAAGCCATCAAATGATCAGCTGAGTTCAGCCCGCACCATGTACTCAAGGTCTGTCTCGCCATGCACACTCCCTGTCTTTTCCCATCCCAGCATTTTCTCCTGTGGGTCTCCTAGTGCTGCCTTGGCCTAGCTGATGATAATACAGCAGAGACCAGCTGAAAAGCTTGTGTCAATTTAGATGACACAGGTTTGAACCTCAGTAGATCTTTATTTTGGTCCAAGTAAAGTGATCAAGGCCAAGGACACCTGGAAAGGGGTCCCAGAGGGGAATACCCAATAACCCCAGTATGAGAGGAATAGGACAATACAAGAAAGAAAATTGGCAAAAACTCTGTCTGAAAGCTGTAAAAGTATCAGCTGAGGGAGAAAGGAGACATCTCATCAAAGAGCGGAGTGAGTCACTGGTAGCACCCTACATTGACCAGTGTGGCCAGAAGATGCTCTATCCACAGGCTACAGAGTGAGGTTAAGGGTGGAGGCTTTGTGTGGGCAATGCTTCTCTTCTACAGCACGTGACCACATTGTGGGGATGGCAGAAAACACAGTTCTAAAACATGAACAAAACCCTCCAAGGAGGGAAGGAAACCATTAACTTCCCCATCTGGCATTGACTCCTCAGGATTTTGGCCCCAGGATTTCAGCCCTGGCTCTCCAGTGACCAGTTCCTGCCCTTCCAGCGGGCTTGATGGAGCCAGTCCAGCTCCCAGGCTCACATTCCTGTAATTTTTTTCTTTAATTTCCTTCTACTCCCTGTACATAATTTTTCTCTCCCTCCTTTCTGTCTCCAGCTCCAGTCTGGTGTCACGATCCCTCTCCTTCCTTGCATCTCCTCCATGGACAAAGATGCCTGGCTGACTCCCTCATGGCTGCAGTAGGGAGATGCTTGGCAGTACTTTTAACTGCAATTCCTCTTTCTTTCTTCTCATCATTACTTTTCCTTTAAACAAAATTCCTTCCCTGTGTGACATCACAGCATAGCCTTTCTGGCACCTTTTAAAGGGCACTGTGTGGGAAGGAGAGGAATCCTTAATAACTTCACCCCTCTGCATGACTGGGGTCCCCAGTGGGACGGGGAAGATGTGTCCCCTCGACAGGGCTGTACCTTGTTCAGGACATCCTTCTGGGAGCCCAGGTAGAGATGTGGCAGGATGCGTGTGGGGCCAACGTTGGCCACAGGCAAGCATGGCTGGGAGATGCTCATCGGCAGGATGGCAGCTGGCTTCCCCTCACAGAGCCCTGGGAAGCAGGATGAGAAGGTGGCAAAGCCTCCTGTGGAGAAAACAGGGACATTGAGCTTGGAGCAGCAAGGCCAAGATCATCAGTACCTGGCACCCCGAGGCCCAGGCTGGGGACAAAGTGGTGATAACCCTGCAGCCCTGGAGCCTCCAGGAGCAACAAGCCACCAGCCACCACTGACCAGTGCACATACATTGTGATGGCTGTGACAGGCACACGGAGAAAGGAATGGAGAACCAGCTCTGATGTTTCCCTGTCACAGCTGGGTATTAATGCACGTGTGAGGCATCCCACACCCTCTCCAATGAAGTTGGCTCTTCTCAACTTTAGCTGAACAGCAGGAAGAGACAGTCCTTTTCTTGGCTCCCGCCTATTCTGAGGACAGGGCCACCTTTTGATAGCAAAATTCATCAGGATAAGGATGACGACAACGAATCCCACTGAGATGCAAAGCTCCTGGGGTGTGGGAGGTCAGCCCAAACCTTCTGCTCTGGCTACACTAACACATCACGATTTCTGAGAGACAGCCCCTCTGCCCAGCCCTGCCAAGCCAATGACATCTGCTACATCATACTGGTATAATGGTACTTGCAGGCCACTGCTCTTCTTCATGCTATGACCTTGCTGAATGTGATAGCAAGCAGTGTCCAGTTTAGTGCACCAAGCTGCTGGGAAGTCACACTCAGCTTGAGCATCTTGAAGCCCAGCGTTGAAAGAAAACCCCCAGCTGAGGCTGCAGTAGCTGGCAGCCAGAGCTACTGTCACAGTGTCTGTCATGGTCAAAAGCCTGAGAGCCTGTCCTGAAAGCTTGAGCAGGGCTGCAAGCCTTGCCCTGCTTGCACAGTGGGCAGCAAGGGGAGCTGGAAAACCCCAGGTGCTGTTGCATGTCCTGCACAGTTCCATAAGACCACTGGTGATCCTGATTTGCTCTCACTTGCTGATCCCGTACGCCAGGGTACAGCCAGGTCTGGCTAGCAGTGGCCTAATTTCACTCCCCTCCAGCTGAGGACAGCTGGGTGGCAGCTTCATGCAATGGAGAGGAGATTGAGTCATAGCTGCCTCAAGTCTCCCTTGAGGTTTTCCCAGTTATGTGAATGAGCAGATGCAGCTTGACATCAGCCAAAGGGCAGAGCAGACTTGGGGGCTTGACCGCCTTTGACTGTCAAAGGGACCAGGATGCTCCCACAAGATCCTTTTGAAAGCCCAAGTCTCTAGACTGAGCACCATGAGAATCCCTGGCCCATCTCCACAGCTAAACAAGACTTTTTAATGAGCCAGTCCCTCTCCCCTTTGGAAGCAAGGCAGCCTTGGCATATTCTCAATTTACCTTCTCCAGCATTTGGGCAACATTTCTGCTGATCCTCCTGGAGCACCCTTCTGGCTGCTGATGTGGCACCCACGCTCCAGAGAGGCATGACTGGTGCTGCAGACAACCTATCTGACATCTTTGTGAGATGAAGGTGATGGAGAAGCCAAAGCAGTGCACAAAACCATGCTCATACCACTTGGGAACATCCAAGGTCCTCCACCACACTCCACCTCAGCACCTCCTGGTGTCAGTGCCCACTGGCCTAAGGGGATGGTGTTCTCCAAGAAACCTCTTTCCTCCTCACTCTTATGTTTTCCTGTCTGGCAGCTAACACATCTCCCAGCTTCAAAACCCAGTCAAGACAGGAGGGGTAGAGTTAAAGCACCTTATCTTTTCCAGTACTTCCTTTTCTCTGTCTCCCTCCAAAATGACATCACCTCTCAACTGGGATATTAAATCAGAGCAAAAGCAGGAGGGCCAGCACAGGTGCAGCATAGCTCTGGTTACTGCTCATCCCTGCACTGTGTCCCCGTTGCCAAGGACTGTCCATCACTAGCCAGAGCTCTGCACGGACACATGCGACCTCCCCGCTTTGTCTCGTGCTGATGCCTAGGGGATGCTGGGGCAGAAACCCCCTGGGAAGTGTTTCCTTCAGCTATCCCTAGAGAAGCCTGCAGCATTTGAGTGGGGCACACATCTGACCCTGGGCTGGTGTGAAACAACGCGGGAATTTTTGTGAAGGAACACGGCGCATTTTTAGGGAGCAGGGTGCACACAAATGCAGCCTCAGGGATCAGTGCCTGCTCTGGTCCATAGGTGGCCAGCCTCTTGCACTCACTCACATTCATCAGGAGCTGCCCAGGGCAGTGGATGGGTTTGTATGACTCTTCAAGGTGATCTCATAGTTCAAGCAGGTCAGGGCATGCTGCTCTCTCCCCGTTGCCCGCCCCCAGCACACTCAGCTGGCAGCAGATCCTCTGCCAGCCCTGCCTGGGGAAATCCAGGCAGGAGCTGAGGAGGGCTGTGAAGCAGGCAGGGATGTTTGTTGAGTGGCAGCAGCACCCTCAGCTGCAGTGCCTACCAGGGCAGGCGGCCACAACTGGAGGATGCTGGCACCTGAAATGATGTCCATAGCTCACCTCATTTGTCCTAAGCAAAACCTCAACTCTGTGTCTGGGAGTCCAGGCATGCTCCCAACCCACCTGTCCTCATCTCCCCCATACTTGCAGCTGCTGAGGGCAGCCTGGGCTTGGGGGAAACCCTAGAGATGGGGCCGGGTACTTGACACCATCCCAACATGGAAGCGGCACTCACCCCACCCTGCAGCGGCTGCTCCAGCATGCCTTTCATTTTTTGAAAGCGAAGCAGCTCTTTAAACAATCCCAAAGGCAGTGAGTGTCCCTGGCTGGGCTCCAACTGATACCTGGGCTTTCCTCCCCTCTATGCCCCAGGCCACGAATCCCAGATTTTGCTGGGAGAGAGCAGCAGAGCCCAGTGATGTGAGGAGCCAGGGTAGCTGCAGTTCTAGCCTTTCCTCTTTTATTCGCAATGCTGGTGCCAGGAGCACCATTTCTCTTGGCACGTGTGGAATTTAGCTCAGGAAGGATTTGTATTTGTCATGGAGTGGGTGTCTGGGGATCTCTGGTTTCTTCTGGATGCTCCCCTACACTGGTGAGGGCTTGCTGGGGAGGAGCTGGTTCTTGTGTCACAGCCTAGTGAGCTGCTCAGGGCTCCAATAGGAAGGGTTCTCAAAACCATTCTCTGGAAAAAAGTGTCTGCCTGCCTACTGTAATTACCTGAGGCAGAAATGGTGCCCAGGAAGAGAAGTGGGAACTGAAAGGGAAGGGAACCAGAACAAAAGTGGGGATGCTTTCACTGCAGCTGCTGAAAATGGAGGAAAGAGGAGCCAAGAACCAGCACCAGACAGGTTCTAGGAGGCCTAGGAAGTGAAAATCACCCTCCTGGAAGTGAAAATCACACGGAGGCACAGGGTGTTGCAGCAGCTTAGTGCCAGAATAGTGCAACAACAGAGACCTCTTATCTCCTCCGAGGCTTCACTCACATAGTGCTGACCACCCTTCCACCTCCTGCTGTGCCCTGCAGAGACCTCTGTGGGCCAGCCCCCAGCCCTGCTCTGCATGGCCCTTCTGTCAAACAGAGGACAGAGGAAAACAACACAACTTCTCCCCATCCCCGTCTTTGCCAGGCCCTCCCCTCTGTGCACTTTCCAGCTGAACAGCTATGATAACCTCCCAGTGAAACTGGATTTTGAGAACAGATGCTGCAAAAGGAAGGTAAACAGCCCTGGGAATCCTCCTCAAGTCTGTCCATCAAGCCAGAGGGAAGATGCCAGCAGCATCTTTGAACAGGCTGCTGTGGTACCTGCACTGCTGCAACTGTTGGGAGCCGTGTGACTCCTCCCCTCCAGCAGCAAACTGCACAGTGAGGTTGCAGTCCCTGCACCAGTGTCTGTCTACGGCCCTGAGACAGCTGTAACCAAAACGAACAAAAACACAAACACGGAAAGAGATTACAAGATGTAAGGACAGGAATGTTGTGCTGCTGAGCTGGGACTCTGACACAGCTGGAGAACCCTCCACTGCCCTGGCTGTCACCATCAGGTGGTCTCTGGGGACATCCCAGTCACAGCTGGGTCACTGACAACATTGCAAGTAAAAATCTGTCGCTTGTGAATTGCGCTGTGCTCTTCTCTGCCAAGACTGGGCAGCAGTGGTGGTGCAGAGAAGGTGACAAAGGAGGTGACGAAGTCCTGGCTAAGGACAGGGATGTGGTGTGGCATTATTTTCCTTCTGGTGCTAAGCCTCAACTTTAGGGATTTACAATCCATTAAGCTGCATGAGATGTTAACAGAGACGCTGCGGAGGATAAAAGGAAGGTGTGGGACACATAAAGCTGGATATCCCAGCTCCTGGTTGTTCTCTGTGTCCCTCCCTGCACTGAGACCTTCTTTCTAGGCTGGAGGTGTAAAGTGGAGCTGGGACTTGAAAAGCCTCTCACACCTTGCTCTGCTGGATGCACTCTGTGCATTCATCTCCAGCCTCACCTCCTTTTTCAGAGGCCTCTGAAACAACCCAACAGCTCTGGCCTTGATGCTGTGCCCTGCTGACTGTAAGAAGCTGTGAAAGGGCTGCCCAGGGCACCTGCCTCACCCCAAAACTGCTCTTCAAGAGAGCCACATGCCTCTTGAACACCCCCAGCCCCATGAATCTCATAGAAGCTCCCCACAAGACACACAGAACAGCATGTCCTGTTCAGCAGCCTCCCCTGTGCATTGCAGGCTCAAAGGTCCCCACCAAGAAACAGGGAAGAGGTGACATGTCACGCTGCTGTGCCAGCGGTTTGTGGCAGCAAGGAGGAGGAGATCCAGAGCTGGAAATCCTCCCTGGGCCAGCAGCTGCCACACCCCACTGCTCACCCCCAGCTCTCACACCGGAAGCTAGAAGGAGACCTACAGGGGCATTAAAAATGTGTTTTAAAGCCCACCCTCATCGCTGCAATAATGAGAGTTAGAGAGCAGCAGCCGGAGCTGTTCAGAGACCGGCTCCCCAAGCAGCTGCCAGAGGTTTTTGCGGCAGGCCACAGCCCCACCAATGAGCTTTGTGCCTGCGCTTGTGCTGGAGACCCTCTGCCCTGCTGAAGCTCCTGGCAGCTGAGGGGGCTGAGAGAGGCCAGGCTCCGGCCGGCTCTCATTAAAATGCCTGCG